GGCCGTCTGTAATATAGCCCGGATAAGACAATCAGTTGTAGGGTAGCAGTACTATCAAACACATAAGAAGTCGTACAGGCAGTAGTATTAGTATTGCAGCTGCGGTTGTGATATCGTGCATTTGGTGCATGTCTTAAAATGTCATAACGTCTTTTTGCAACGCATGCATCTCGGAACGCAGCATGCAACACAGAGCAAACAGAGACGGACACAACCCAATGCCACGGGCGACTCCGCTTTGCACCCAGCACTATAAACTCCACTCACTGACCTGTAAGGAGTTTGTAATATGATGCGAATCCTACCAAATCTCCAGATGTTTCTTTACGTGCTAATATGTATAAACAAATACGCATCTACATGTTCGCTTCTCTTTGGCATCACAGTAATCATTTAGTCATATTTGTTTAGGATTCCAGAAAAGTTTATTTTTCTTTTTGTGTGATGTGGTTTACTGCTTTTCGGACTAGTGTGAACGGAATAAGTTGATAAATATGGCTTCATCGGACATTGCAATGGCTTCGTGTTTCTGCAACTCTGAAGGCGTTTTGTTGATTGAAAATAAATATGTTTTCGTGTGTTTGCTTTGCAATAATAGCACAGAATGCACTTGTATTGAATGGGTTGAACACCGTTTTGCACTCGTGTTTACTGTTAGCAATATCGGTTTCCTTCCTACTAATTATTTGCTTACTTTTCACCCACATGGCAATAGTTTGGTAAAAAACGCATAACAAAAATAAACGTGAAAATATCATTTGACAAGCTGTATGTTATTCCCATAATGATCGCTAACACTTCTATTTAAGATTATTATTGTGTTACATCTCGTAGTAATAACCAAACCGGTCGAACCTTTGCTTGGGATACATTGCGAAATACAGGTTTTCCAATTCCACGCATTGCAGCAACCGTCACGACATTGATAATGATAGCAATATCTATCTTGAATCTATGAACCATAATTAAAAGAATATACTGAATTATAGACCTCAGAACTTCAAAGCCCATCACATACAATTCAGATTATTAATCATAGAAATCTTATTTATCTTGTGTCATAATGAGTTTTCTTTCCAACACTATCCGATCCCATTAACACACGTTTCGTGTGTACGGTCATAAGCAATATACCAATCAATCAATCCATCTCATTCAGATATCATAAGATAGATCTTTAATTATCCCCTGTATGTTTCAACGTAAGGACAAACACATGGAGGCCGTATTTAGCCTATCGGAATGTAAGTAATTCAATACTTATGGAATTAGCCTATAACAAATAAGTAGAGATACCACGCTTCAGGTAATGAGATGATATTCCATGGTACTAATGACTATACGTCTTATTCAGCAAGAACGCACAAAATGCAAATTCTACCACCACAATACATCCATATTAAATCCCAGTATCTGCTTATATTCGCGAAATTCATTTATCGCATGATTACATCTCCGCCGGATCAATAGCGGCCTTCATATATAGGCACACGGCTAGTGCTATCTTTGCACTGTTAGCCTTGTCGATTCTTGTTCAATAACCTCACCAGGTCCATTCCAAGAAAAGTCGTATTTTCAACTTTAATGATTTCTTGTCTTTTTATTCTTTGATATGGCAAACAATCCCCCTGATTCCTGTTTATACTGCATTAAATGTGGTTCTTTCATCCCGGAGTCAAAAGTCGAAATTCGTATTTTTGTTCTCTTGTTTGTTCTTATTATTCTCCGAATCCTGATTCTCAAAGCAAATACGGTGATAGAAGTTTCGCTAATCACTCAATTGCAGTGGTTGAAAATTCCCATTACCTGGCTAAATTCACATGACTGTAATGTTTATTACTCAAATGACAGAATTCCCAACGGTATCAGGTGGCCTTTAAGATAATTGATATTTAGGCCGTCTCTTCGCTAAGCTAATGAGACGAGTACTCTCTTCATTTCCACATATTCTTAGTTAATATCATTGTGGAAAAAAGAGAAATCATTCGCTTTGGATGTCTATTTTTGAAATAATTTCTCTGCGCATGAATACAACGTTACAGTTGCCGGTTTACCGCTCATGTTATTCCGAGACGATGTGGCTTTGAATTGTACGGGATTCGATAATCAAAACATTTGCAAAACACGCGGTCAAGGGGAAAACCAAATTAAACCTCCATTACGCAGACCCGCTAAATCAGAGACAACGGCAAACTCAGGGGAACAGAAATTGAAATGAACGAATGCCACAAAGATCAAAGCTTTCACCGTATTATGAAAATAAATAAGGTTTTGAGTTGTCCCCTAGAATGCAACCTGCGTAATTATAATGCTCATTTAGGGAGATTGAGTCAGGGCCCATATGAACAGACTTGAAACATGAGCCGGTTCAAACTTGGCAAGACTTAGGGTCGAATAGTTACAACCTGATGAAAGCTTTTTACTGATCATAAGTTCAATCGGCCAATAATACTAAATTAATTAGAAAACTTCACAGTGATCAAGGTGTAATTATGAAAGCTGATTAACGCAGCCGTTTAATTTTCTACAGTCGGGCGACATGTTGACGTAATTGAAGCCTGTGTCACTCCGTGCATTAGACAAGCAATGTCAATTGCAGTTCGGCAGCTAGGCGGAGCTATATCACGATAACGTATATATCACACAGAAAGCGTACATTGCAATGTTAAGTACAGATAATTGAATTTCCACGTGCCCCCCATTTCTGAATCATATTATTACTTACATACGAGAATGAAAATACCAGAGTCAACACTTGTCAATCGTATGTTTTCCTTGCAACATACTATGTCAATTACATGCAAGCGAAATGTATTATGGGTTAAGACAGCCAAAATCAATATTTATTTGCTCTTTTTGGTGAAATAGTAGTCTAGGAAACCACACGCTATACATCAAATGTCGATCAGGTACAATTTCTTGAGTTTGCGAGTATTGATTTAAACTAGAGTGGTGGATCTTTACACAGATATCGAACAGATTACTACAATTCCTTCTAATCATTTAGTAAACAAATACCTGGGATGTCTACAGCACAAAACACACCCTCCATCTATAAGGTAAAACTCAAAATAAACAACTCAATATTAACAAAAATGTCTAGAAAGCATTACATGTATGTCACGTACATCCATGACTTCTATATACAGATCACATGACAAATCTCGTCGTGTACGAGACGTGATCAAAGCAACACGTTAAGTTGTCAATAACAGCTGTTATTCTCTAATTAATACAGATGAGATTTAGGAGCCTGAAGCAAGCCTGTCAAATTTGGAAGAATATTTACATAAAACACTCCGCCAGAGGGCAGTACATAGATTAAATGTTCAAAGCATGTTGCACGACAATAATTTTTATTGGTGTACTTGTCATGTTAACTTGAAATCAATCGGAAAATTGGCTTACTTGGCAACATTTGGGAAAATAAGACACTTAATTTATAACGCGAGTAGACTTCATTTATTGTCATGTCAATATCAGCCAACACGTTGCAACTTTTACAACTATTTCAGTGATATATCACTTATTATGCAAAGTTTCTCTAAAAATCATTGATAGCATGCTAATACATATCGTTGTATGATACCCTTGTATAGTCAATTGATAGCATCCATTCAGAGGAAGGGGAGTCGGTTCATTCAAACACAGATGTCAACTTTTGATTAAAAAGTTGATTTTAATCTGGTATTTTACTTGTTTAGATTTTTGAGATCGCAAAAGCCAATTTGTCAGGAAGGCCTATGGAGGCTTCGCCACGAGACCTACAAAAACTGGGTGTATTTAAACAATCTGCAAAATAAATGGGGATTATTTGATAAATGCAATATGTTTTCTTAGGGTCGTTTTTAACTGCAGCGAAAGGCCTGCTTCCACAAGAAACTAAACTCGTGGAAGGCATTTTTGTTGATCATTGAGTGCACCAAATGTACACCTCTATTATATCGCGAAATAGTTCCATTATACCGAGGAAGGAAAGAGGTGGTGCTGCACAAGACGCGCCATTACTCGGATTAAACTAGCACTCATATGTATAGCATTGTGGACAGAAAGGACAACGAGCTCACAGTGAATTCAAATAAATCCTGAAAAACATCCACGTTAAGACGTCATATTATACACATAAACCCCCCCATTTGAATCGTGATGGAAGAAGAATATTTTTTCGTTTTAAAGAAAACAAATTGTTAGATTAGCTATGCATGACTATACTGAAGACACTATTGTGCCTTCTGTAAGGAGAAAGGTATCCGAATGTATGAACGCCCGAGAACCCATTCCTCTTGTAACACATTCTGTCTGCGTGTATTATAATACAAGCGATTAAAATGGAATACTTCGAACTATTAAATAATCAGTTTATAGGCCATTAAATTTTCAAATGGTTAAATATTACAACACGTCTCATTAGCTACCCAGTGTGTTTCTCGGGTTTGAAATGAAAACAAGTGTGTCCTTTTTTCCGAATGCTTCGACCTAGGGAACCATTTTCTAGAGCCTGTGACCCGCGAAGCATTAATCTTGTCACAGGACAAAGCCAAGCTACGAGTCTCGTGCAAGATGCTGGGTAGAAGGCGACCCCCCTTGGCTCCTCCCCCCTTACCATCTCACCTGGATGGGGACAATACCAATGGGGGAATCGCTGAGACGAGACAAGAAATATGAATTTTATGTCTGTGAACTAAAGAGAAACTCACAGGATTAAAACACACTTCGAAGGATTTTTGAGAGCATGTATGGTTAGCTTTTGTTGCGAGCCGGTTATGGCGATTTAGCATCAAGTGTTTCCGCCTTGCGATTTCATGATGTTCTTGAGAAACTGAGGACTTAGGAAACAGTAGTACCTGATTCCGATAATCAAAGATGTTGAGATCGTAATCTATGGAAGCACAAACGTAACTAACAAAGGTTCCCAGCCGCCATTGTACACAAGGTCATGTGACAGTGGATGCGCCCCCATGCGGTAAGAACACGAAACAGGGGCAGATAGCTCCACTTACCGTCGTCTCTATCATCCTCTGACATTTTGTCATCATCAGGGTCGTCATCATCATCATCACTTCTGAGAGGGCCGACTGATTTATAAGCGTCTTTCAAATGCCCGTTAACGTGGAGGTTGAGTGGTTTGTCTGAAACAAGGAACCAGATATTGCGGATCAAGAGTCGGAAGGTGAAGGCTAAACTGGCATTAAGTCCAAGAAACAAGTTATCTTTCTGAAATATACATGCGTACAAAATGAAAGAAAAAATCAAATGGATCCCACAACAAGCCTTGATTTCAGAGCTGAGGAAATCTGGACTCAAATAATTATCGTCTTTAGGTACTCCTTGGTCTGGGAGACACGTGAATACGGGATCTAATGCCAAATGTTTTAATACCAATAAATTCGACTTAATATCATATCGGAAAAATAAATTGGGATTATTTAAAAGGTGCAATATATTTTCATAGGCTTTCAATAGCGGCCAAACATAAATCGTAGGTTTGGTTTCATGAGAAAACTATTAAGTAGAGAGTCTGTATGAGAATTTAATGCAAGCTCTACGATGCACAAGAATGTTAAATGTTTTGACATTGGCAAATAAATCGTCGCTGATTCCTTCAGTGGTATGACTGGAAAAGTGCTTTAAAAGCGTCAGTTCTTATACAAACCACATGATATACTGATATCTTGAAACATAGTGAGTGAGGTTTTTACACCTTTTTCAGCAATACGACAGCAATATCACGGCGGGGGACACTTTAAATGTGTTTTCCACACTGTTCCCATGTGGGAAATCGAACTCGGACATTCAGAGTGACAGACGAGCGCTGGCACCTCTAGACTGGGCACTGTGTTATGGATATGGGACTTAAGAACACCTGTGGAGTCGAGAGTCAAAGAACTCGGAGCAGCCTTACTAATAGTGTCTAAAGAGTTATAATATGGTCACTTACTTGAATCGTTGTCCATCATCCGGGGATGAACCCGGTCTGTATCATAAGGGGATTTGCCAATGACGTCATCGCGACCTCTGGAAAAAATAGCACGTGAATGAGTATGGTTTTACGCCGCTTTTAGCAATATCCCAACAGTGTCACTGCGGGGGACATCAGAGTGAGTGAGTGAGTGAATGAGTGTGGTTTAAAGCCACGTTGATCAATATTCAAGCAATATCACTTCGTAGGACACCAGAAATGGCCATCACAGATTGTACCCATGCAGGGAATCGAACCCGGGCCTTCGGCGTGGCGAACGAACACTTTAACCACTACCAGAACTATAAATATCATGTCTGAACCAAGTCATTTTAAGTAAGTGAATAAGATGCATTCTCCATTTATATATACGGCGACAAACTCAAATACAGGACCGCAAGAACCATACTTTGAATGGAACAAAATTTTAGACGCTCACGGTGACCGCTTGAACCATTGGGCTATGGGCGACAACATGATATTCTCAGGGCGTGTTACCTATCGGAGACGATTTACCTCCCTTTTACACTCAGAGACGCTATGATTATGCGCTCTATTATTCCTTGTTCTCTTCCATCAAACTAAAACCATTGACCGTGGACACTATATTAGCTTTACTCTCAAGAACACCCAGATAGAGATTAGTCATAAATACGAAAGAATTTCCGATCAATAGATAAATAAATTTATTCATCCTCTTGATGGTATGATAAACCGACGTTATTTAAACATGCAAGTTAAACCCTAAGACGCATAACTCAAAGAAGAGCCCAGATCTCTGTTATTTTAGAAACTGTGACATCTTGGAGGAACAAAACGTGTCTCTATAAATATCCGTATCCTAGTATCTGCGTCCTTCATGGGTGCACTTCATGCTTTCTGTTGAAAAGACATACAATATGGCGGCCATGGCTTTCCGCGAAGCATGTTAGTTTAGCATTCAGATGAAGAAAATGTTGTGCTAATTTTACACAATACATCTTTCAATCTTTTTCATTGATGACAGCATTAAAGCTTTACCTAGTTCATTACCATGGGTTTTTGCGTATATATATAGAAATCTAGTTGATAACGCTTTGATTTTTCAATTTGAGGAGACTTTGAAGTCCCAGATACAAATATCTGACGCATATTGTGTTTTGCAATAAATATTTATCCAATTGAAAAACAACTTGTTTTTAGCTGCCGTGAATCATTTGATCAAGTCCAAACAAAGAAATCATCTTCTATGACGAATTATAGAACAGAAATAACGCTCAAGATATTTGAACTTCCTTCTCTGAGGAGATGATACATAGTTATCTCCCTTTGATAAATCTTTGGTATTTGAAAATTACATCTAAAAGCGGAAGCACGTTTATTCTGTTTCTAAAGCCTGTCTCTTCAATTAAGAGTATACCTGTTGGAGTACGCGAAACAGGTTTAGCGCACATGTCAATATTTTCTCTTTTGTTTCGTGCTTTCACAGCAATAGTGCAATTGAACGAACTTCAACAAAAGCAAGATGACTTGGCTCTAATCGTCGTTGATTTAATACGTGTGGGATTGAATCCGCATGTTGATGGCAATGCAGCAACGCCGTCTGACTATGAAGAGCCATCATCCCGCTGCCATTATCAAATGGAAACGGAAGCAAGGTCGAACCTAAGTATTGTGCTGAAATCTATTTGCAATACAAGTGAAAAGCACGCGTTGTAAGGCATACGAAACGATTTTCATATACGTCCTTAACGTTGTTGAAAACAACAGTCACGGAAAGCTGTTTCAAGCCAAACAATAAATTCATTTGAAGACAAAAAGCACTGTGTTGTTTTCATCAATCGATCCCAATAGCCGTAAAGAGATTGCGCTTAACGCGACACGACAATTACTTTCCAAAGAAAGGGCGTGGGGAGCATTTGTTTTTAACAATTGGAAACAAATTTCTTTGGATGCGTGAGCGAGCGTTAATCAGCTGCATGTTGTATTTTGAGAAAAACTCTCCGAAACATATGTGAGATGCATTGTCTTTTGTGAAAATTCTTTATTTTTGACTTCAAGTGAGTTCCTTTCTGCTTTCAACAAAAGTATAAAGAAAGCCAAATTGCGATAATATGTTCGGTGGGAGAAGTACCGTGAACGAGATGGTGTGTTGGGTTCTTAAGTCTCGAGGGCTTTCTCTCGAGGGCAACAGAAATACTGAACGGTTATTTTGTACAGAATGGATGACTATCCAGTCTTGTTAGCATCCATTACCAAGTTTCTGGTCGATGAGGGACTCTTATCTCGCATACAGGTATTTATTTAATCACAACTCCCATTAAACGACTTTATGTGGACTTAGTAAAATGTTTATTTTCAAAACCATTAAACCTATTTAACTTTTGGTTCATATTGAGACATCAATCATATATTTCTAAGCTACAGTTGGGATCAATGTGGATATTTCACATTATGCAACATCTTTTGTTGGATATTGGCATCTGAAACAAAATCTCATAAATATTAATATCGACCAGGAACTTTATACTTCACAGATATGGTTTTTATAAGGGTCTATAATAACATTAGCTCTTCTGCATCTGTTACAGTCGCTGTAGTTAATGATCAATTTTGTGTCAGATGTTCATGAAACATACGCCTAAAACTGGTCTGTTGCCTGTATAATGGAAGATGTTTAATGACTGTGTAAGTGAACTTGTCTTGTGACTCAATGAGTGAAGGTGGCTGTAAAACTGAATGTTTCTAGAGTTTGTGTGACTGTGGGTGCCCTTTGGCTGTGTGAATGAAGGTGTCCTTTGGCTGTGTAAACAATGGTATCATGTTGCTGTGTAAACGAAGGTGTCTTGTGGCTGTGTGAATGAAGGTGTCCTGTCGCTGTGTGAATGAAGGTGTCCTGTCGCTGTGTGAATGAAGGTGTCCTGTCGCTGTGTGAATGAAGGTGTTCTGTCGCTGTGTGAATGAAGGTGTCCTGTCGCTGTGTGAATGAAGGTGTCCTGTCGCTGTGTGAATGAAGGTGTCCTGTCGCTGTGTGAATGAAGGTGTTCTGTCGCTGTGTGAATGAAGGTGTTCTGTCGCTGTGTGAATGAAGGTGTCCTGTCGCTGTGTGAATGAAGGTGTCCTGTCGCTGTGTGAATGAACGTGACCTGTGGATGTGTAAACGAAGGTGTCCAGTGGATGTGTAAGTAAGGGAGTTCAATGACCATTAGAAGAAAAGGTGTCTTGCTGTGTCCTTAGGTTATGTAAGTAACATACAAGCAGTTTGTCTCATCAGACTAATATATCCTCGTTCCTGCCCTAACGACCACATCAGACTAATATATCCTCGTTCCTGCACTAACGACATCAGACAAATATATCCTCGTTCCTGCACTAACGACCATATAAAACAAATATATCCACGTTCTTGCACTAACGACAACACCAGACAAATGTATCCACGTTCTTGCATTTAACGATCATAAAGACAAATATATCCACGTTCTTGCAATAACGACAACACCAGACAAATGTATCCACGTTCTTGCACTAACGACCATATAAGACAAATATATCCACGTTCTTGCACTAACGACAACACCACAAACATGTTCTTGCATGTATCCACGTTCTTGCACTTAACGACCATATAAGACAAATATATCCACGTTCTTGCACTAACGACAACACCAGACAAATGTATCCACGTTCTTGCACTAACGACCATATAAGACAAATATATCCACGTTCTTGCACTAACGACAACACCAAACAAATGTATCCACGTTCTTGCACTAACGACATAGGACAAATACATGTACTCCTAGGGGGCGGTGGGGTAGCCCAGTGGTTAAAGCGTTCGCTCCTCACGCCCGGGTTCGATTCCCCACATGGGTACAATGTGTGAAGCCCATTTCTGGTGTCCCCCGCCGTGATATTGCTGGAATATTGCTAAAAATGGCGTAAAACCATACTCAGTCAGTCAGTACTCCTAGATTCTTGGATTAACAAACACAACAATGAAGAAGAACAATCTTTCCATGAAAAAGTATTGTACCTATCGCTGAAATGGTCAGATGCGATAGATATATTTGGCCTGGCACTGACCACTATACACACATGATCCTTGCACAAACAAACAACAAACAAACAAACCATTCAAAATAACAAATATCTATAAGCACTGGACTAACCGTTGATAGGGAGAAGTTTTGTATCAGTTTCAAATGCTAAAGATATAACAGCTTTCTACAGTGTGTTTACAATGCTAGATATCAAAGCCTAGTAAAAGTCTGTTTACAGTGCCAGATATCTAAGCCCTGTACTAACCGTTCGAAATGCTAGAGATATACATGTATAAGCCTTGTACTAACCGCTCTAACTACAAGATATCTATCCGGCTCCTAATGGAAACGACGTCGGTGCTCGAACCAAAGTGAAGCCATTCGCGAGGGGTACACACGAAACGATTGTACTTGAGGGACCTTGGGTTCACCGAGTGCTCGCTATATCCCCCTGTATCCCGCTCCACAGATCCCCTTACTCGGCCGAGGTGCTAACAAAATTACTTTTCCACTTGCCCAACAATTTCTTGTTTTAATGGCAATATACACACCATCTGTGAGCGTACTGCAGATAAACTGACGGAGAGAGTGGGACATATGTTCCCCCGGCTCGCCAAACTCTACAACAATCTGTTATTAATTACAGAATTGTGAGAAGGCAATAGTTTCAAGACAGCGCACATAGCCGACACCATCGTCAGGGTTTTCATACAAACCAAAGTTTTGTTTGCGGAAATCTCGCAATGACCGACATGGCCAGCTTCTTTGTGAGTTCTGTTCACTTTTTGATATATAATCCGGGATCAAAGAAACAAATGATTTGTCATGAAATCGTCAGCAATAATTTTCTTACCACAAATTGGGTTTTTCTCATTATTTTGTCATTTTCTATCAGAAATAGGTTTCTAAACACTTTCACGTGTTTGATAGATTTTCAAGACGGAGGCACCAGCTGCCGGGAACGGATTCTTGCTGCTTCGTAACCAAAATATCATAATTAATTATTTCACTCTGCACATTAAGACGTTTTAGTAAATTAATATACTACAAATATGATATGCATGGACTCAATCTGCATATTATATTGTGCATCAAACATGAGCTTGACAAATATGTTGGCCGCATGTGCTTCATGTTCTATAAGAATCATCAGGGAACTTCCAGGTGTAACATATCACTTGAAAGGTTGAATATATTTACTTTTTGCTTTGGGCCGGGGCCAACCTAATGTTCACGGTTTATTCATTAGGAGAATGAGCAATGGACAACACTCTCTATATCAGACGGATGAGGAACCGTCAGATATACCTTCTCGTTTTTGGCATTCCATAATTTGGGGTTTTTAAACATTGGAGTAAGACAAGGTGGATCATTATACCAAGAGCTATTAATGTAAAACAGAGAATTTATTAATAGTATGTAATCCTAAGTATGTTTAGTCTATATCTTATTTAGTATCCTCACACATTCACTGATTTGTGTATTTATTTATTCGCTTTGTTATTCTCACACTCGTTCTGTTTCAGTACATTTTCTGCTAAAATGATGAGAATTTGGTCATCCATACCTCAACAGTACTTACAGCTCCATTCATCCGATTCTTTTTTTGTCGTAGTTTTAGGAATGTTTGGGGGTTAAAACCATTTGAATGAAACAATCATTAATGTTCTGTAATTGAATGTAACATGATACCCTCGGAAAATGTTCTATTTATCCCCGCTGCATAAATTAAATTCGTAATTTCTGTTTTCAACATTTTGAACTTAACATCTCTTTACAAACCTCATAAAGTTAATATTTATAACCTCGTAGAAGTTGATAAATTATTTAAAGTTAAGGCACATCTTTCTGTACGGTTTATGACAAGTATAGATTTCACAGAGATTAGGAATTCCCATTATAAATCCAAAAGTATTGAAGAAAAAACACATTAAGATATTTATCTCTGAGCTACAAAGTACAGCGCACTTCTATTCACAGAGTTCTAGGGGCGTAATACAGGGTTATTTACATCGTGGCGCGAGATAGAGATTACATATGCACTGCCTCAATTTACATGACAATAGTAACATATTTCAACTCATAATCCTAATGCTTATTGTAATATCTTACATTTGTGCTAAATGCAATTACCACGCTTGTCTATTTTGATAACGCACGAGATAATCGTTTTGCCTACGTTTCAGGTAGAGAGTAAATGAGTATTGGAGGACTTTGAAAAACTAATTCTGTGTCGCTTCATTACATGGAGTGTTTTTCCAGTACTGCCAGAGCGATCATACACTAACCGTGTTATTTTCTGGTTACATTCTACATTCCAACATACCTTGATACATGCGAAAAACTTATAATGGACGTGCAATGATTAATGCAGATAACAAATACTTTGCAGAAATGTCTTTTCTAAAGAATAAAACATAATATAACTAGTTTGATGGGAATATGTGAATTGAGTCTTTCTATCAACACAATCGCATGTCATCCATTTCACATTGAATCAGCATTTATTCGTGAGTGATAAAATACGAAATAAAGACGTTTATTTTCTAAAGATTAATGATGTGATATGATGCACATTAATGCAAACCTAAAACTCACACAGAAATGCATATACACTGTGATGACCTTTCTACAAGTCTCATTCCTTGAATGACGGTTTTCTCTATTACCTTTTCCTTATTGCATATGTGTTTTCATGTTGCCTCTGACGCCCATTAGAAGCTGCTTGTTTGAATAACTGAGACTGGTTATTATCTGGCATTGACGTTCTATATTTACAATAAACCCACATGGACATAATCTGTTCACAGATTTATAACATAATTCTTATTCAGAAAACAACATATTAACGCACACGCATTGCGTGGACACTTACGGAAAGACGTACCTGGGTGACATTAGATCCGACTCTGAGCTTGACCTGTCCTTGATGATTGACCCGTCAGGTCTGAGGCCGAGGTGCTGAGCCATTGCCATGGAGACTGGTGGGGACATCATGGGGTGAGTGAGGGGCATGAAAGGAAGGGGCCCCATAGCATACGGGTGGTGTGGGAAGCCATTGAGTAGGGACTTCCGGTCTCCTGGAAAATACGAAAGACCTATATCGATTTATTGATTAGAAATCAAAAGGTTGGCAAGCATATAAAACAAGAAAACATCATCATTTATTTGTTATAATATTTTCATTGCATTTGAAAATGGCTGTATCTTACTGAATTGAATTAAATGTTTTTGTTAATATTACGTATTCTAATGAATGATGCCAGTATATGTATCGATTGCAATAATCGATTATTATCTCTTAGAGATAGATGCCAACTGATGCAGTGTTATATATGTGTAACGGGTTGTCATATTGGACGTGTATACATAACCACATAAGGGTACAGGAGAACCATCATGATGGTGAACAGAGACTCGAACCAGTCTACGTAGGAACATAACACCGTGATTGCTGACGACCAGTCATGATATTGTTCACTCGCTTGGAGGAATGATGGTAAATATTTGCTAAATCGTGGTCATCTAATTAAAACTGGAGTAGGAAACATTGTCGGTTTAGCAGAACCAGCTTCAGTCGAGACAATTCAGCCTTAAAATGCAATTGTTCAATGTTGTTTTTCGGGCAGTCGTGTGGAATGCGATATTAGTGATGGAGGTCTTCTGATGTAAAGACAAATATGATATTTCCAAACACGTCTCTATAATCAAAAAGAAAGAAAAGAAGAAGTCATGCAAAGGCCGTGTTTCAAATGAGATGCGTTTGACAAATCATTGAATTTTTAAAAGACACAGCAATTAATTATTCCAAATTAACCCCCACTTAAGCCTGTAGTTTTATGTTGTTCCTGTCAAATGACTTAATGATCGACGGCCCCATTTGTCACTATGGCAGCGCAAACTTCCGGGGGCTGACCGATGCCGGAATTCGGTTCAATATCCCTTCCGACATTTGTATTTAACCCAGTATGCCGCATCCAATATGGCGGTCACCATGTGCTCAGGCGGAAGTGCGGACGACAGGGGTTTACGTTCTACACCTGCCATACAAAGATAATATGATCTTATAGTAACTGATACCTTTATCAATTTCCAATAAGCATGAGTAATATGGCTTTATGGAAACAGAGGATTTCACACGGAGCCTCATTGCAATCCTGCAACTAAAACGAACTGACATATTCTATTCAAATTCAAGAACTGTCATTAATAGGGGAAAGGGGATGGAAAAGAATGATTTTGGGTGGGTCTAGGGTGTCATGTAAAATGATACATCGAAATAAACGGATTGCCAACAATTATCACAGCTGTATAGACAGGATATGAAAAAATGAGTTCTATATATTTAAAACATAAATATTTATATTTTTATTATAGGTACTGGGTCAAGAAAATAATATATAATGTATTGGATTTGCATGTTGGAGATGGGGATGGGTTGGGGAGACATGATAGCAAGACAAATGGCAATAACTGGCTGGTCCCTTACTTCATTTAAAAGTACTTCCTGTGACTCTTATCCTTTACATAATTCAATACCTCATAAAAGTTCACTTTTTTCAAAGTTTAAACAATTACGTCGATTCCCTAACAAAGTAACTCGGATGCAGTAATGCCCATTATCTTACTCAATGTTATTGTTATCTCTGAGCCTCCGCGTGTAATCTGATCAATACTATTTTGAGCCAAACATCCTCAATTCTAAATATGCCTTTATCTGATTAAATGCTTATAATTCTGTATCACTTCAAAATTTAAATGTTTCCGTTTCAGATCGTTAATCCTTTTTTCGAATAACCCTTTGGCCAACACGATTAATAGAGAACATGGTTGAACAGGAAGTGAATTAAATGGCGACATCTGTACATGGGTGTTTACAAAACTTACATCCGAGTGGACGAAAGTTATTTCAAGCTGTCATTTATAATGACAACAAATAGGCATTTAATGATTCTAAGAAAGCGTATTTATTTCAGCCTCGTGGTAGCAGCCGTGATAAAACAGAATATATAGTCTCTATTGGGAAACCGGTAATATTCAACATCTTTGTTATCTTAGATGAAACGGGTCAGGTAATCCAAATATTAAATCAGAATCGGAGACCACGTGTCCCGAATTAAATATAAACAAAAGCATGGCAAGCAAACAATTCTAACGTCTTTAGATTTCTACATCAAAGATATATATTTGTTATGGAAATACTACCTCTGTCGGATCGTTATAAACTAAACACAGTCTTTCTTTACGTTACATGTAACAACACAAACTGACTAGCAATAATATTTTTATTGTCAAGTCATCCAAATGTTGCGCTTACGGTGGACGGGAAATGGCTATACTGTTAATCAACGCCTTGGTTATGAGAGGAGGCAACGATGATGTCATGCCGTTAAGGTCGCGTGATCTCGCCGGCAGCGGCAGAGACAATGTGAAATATCTTACGTCACTGTCGTGAATTATAAATGACGTGTAATTAATTCAATGTCAACCTAAATCACAAAAAAATATGTGTATGTTTGTAAGAAAATATGGTTCCTAATGTTTGTAAGAACATCTGGTTTATTATTGTTTTTCAGACAGTATTCTGACAAAGGGATCCGTTATGTACCAAAAGAAGGAAAATTCATTGTTTCTATTCGCAGTTCATAGTTATGGTTTTTGTACAGGATCGATGGGGTACCCTTGTGGGTAAAGCGCTCGCTCGTCACGCCGAAGACCCGGGTTCGATTCCCCACATGGGTACAGTGTGTGGAGCCCATTTCTGGTGTCCAACGTGGTGATATTGCTGGGAATATTGCTAAAAGCGGCGTAAAACTAAACTCAATCGCTCACATGAGTAAAATCCGTGAAACCCATTTCTGGTATTCCCAACCGTTATTTTACTGAATTACTATTTCAAAGCGGCGTAAAACTGTACTTATCCACTGAAGACCATTATGTAAATCAGTCGATATGATTTCAGATTTAACCGAATTTCGTTTACATGTTACATTTACTTCACGGTATCCGAGTTCGTTTCGTTAGCTATTCTACCTTAAATATACTTGTACCTTAAGGAAATCAATAGATTGATTCTTCAGAGCTTTTAGTTCCTGTCAACGACATGTGCTTTTAATTGTTACACTGATACCTAATTTTGCATAGATATATACCCTTCCAACAATAGAACTACTATTTTTATCAGCTCAGAATTGTATACCGTTTTGTTTCAGTTTGAAACGGAGAGATCCATACTTTGCAAGTTTATTTAAAGCTCCACGGCAGTATGGAACTATAGAAAGGCACACGAGGCGAACCCTCTGACTTTGTCTATTCTCTTCACAGCGTCTAAATAACGAAACCATGAAGGCAGATCAAACAATCTGTCTGTATTTTCTTTAACAATATTCCCTCGGTGTGCGTTTCATTCTCTCGGATACCTTGGATTCACCTGTGCTGCTTAAAGAAAACTCGAGTATGCTCTGAGGCTAAGGGAGCGGAATACAGGTAGCAGGATATTGATTAAAAGCGCCGACCTTCGGGTGATGGTCCACCGCAGTAGACACTGGTAATTCTGTATAAAGGCTTATGATCTCAGCTGCGCTAGATGGCTATACTAGAAGACTATTGGCGTTTTGATTTGTCTCCTGGCATCTGCTTCATATGGGACACCTTGGCAGGATTACGTGGCAAGGATGAAACACTGGAGCCGTTCTCCATTCTAAGTCCTACAAATTCACGGACATATGCAACCATACCGATCTTCCTGTCAAGCTTATTGAGTTTTAGCCGATAGAAGAGCACTTTGGACTGTCTTAAAGATAGCCTTTGTTTGGGTTTACGGGGCTTTTGTGCTTCAGCAAAATTACTCGACGTCAAGAGTTGAATTGATCAGAAATAGAAAACTACATTTCCTCTCTGTCAAGGCAGCAAAACCAACATGTAAAGAAAGAGAAGCCGTATGAGCTGGTGATACGCCATTATGGTCTTCCTGTCGTGGCGCTGACAATGTTTTCCACACGACAAGAGAAATAGATGTGGAACAATAACGTCATATTTGGTTTCATTCCTATTTGTCTGCGCTCAAACTCAGAAGAGAACTCTTAACGGACAATGGCTTACCGGTCCATCACGGGTTGTGTCCGTCTATTCAGTTGCAATACGCAGCTAGGATAGCAAACACTTCATGGTAGAACATGAATTTTTACTTGATCATAGAGTAAGGGAAAGAAAGCAAATTGCTCTGAGATTCCCTAGGAATCGCTACGGTAATCGTAGAGTTTCCTTCCCCGAGGCCTGAGTAATCAGCAATATTAAACGCAGGGTGGGTAATTCAACACAACAGAAGTTCAGAGGTACAAGTGGGATACAGATATGGGTTCAATGCAGTACACGCCAAACAAGTAATTAGTCAATAAAGCGGATGAACGTTGCTTCGGAGGAGTCTTCGGACAAATAGTATCTTCTGCAGTATAGGCAGGTATTATCGATTGGAGAACAGAGGGAGAAGCTGTCGAACGGTTGAGGGGTTCACATGTGTGATTGGAGTTGATGGTGATGTGATGGCTGCTGCTGCTGATAATAGGGGGGAGGGGGATGGTGGGAAAGGTGCGTGAGGGAGTTTAGTTTTAAGCCGCTTTTAACAGTATTCCAGCAATATAACGATGGGGGGAACAACAAATAGGCTTCACACATTGCACCTATGAGGGAATCGAACTGGGGTTTTTGGCGTGACGAGCGAATGCTTTAACCACTAGGCAACCCCTGCACCTGTTTGGACAGGGGTGAGTGTACAATATGGAAGGTATTAAAGAATAGGCTCAAGTTAGGGTGACAAGTTAAGATCGTGCGTAGTTCATATCCCAGGAGCGTCGGTCGTTGTTCATGCTTCATTGGAACTCAAACTGCTGACGTATTGCTGACTGTAGCGTAAAAGAATACTAACTCACTCACTCACTTCTATTGACTTTGCTAGATTGGAGGAGAAGGGCCGTGGACAGGGAGATATGTTTAAGGCCGCAGTGTGAACAAGTCAAGGTGGGTGAGTGAGATTTGCGATTCGATCCCGGCTCACGTTGCCAGTCTCAAAGTCTACCCAGCCCTCCCTGCAAAGCTTAAG